TACTGCTAAGAGCCTTCTCGTCCAGCAGGCGCGTACTGAGCATCGGCTGTGAGCCAGGCTTTAAGCCCTGGGGGTGCAGAGATGAATAAGGCCAGGTCCCTCCTCTGCCAGGAACTCGGCGCCTTAACAGGGGCAGCGCGAAACAGAATTTTTCCACATAGGATCCCAGGTGCAGCAACCGCGAGATGCACAGGAAGCCCATAAGAGGAGTGTTTTCATTCCTGGCTGAGCTCTCGAGTGTACAGCACTTCCGGCTTGGTGCGCAGAACTCCGTTCCTGCTCCTCTGCGGGCAGCGGCATGACGTGTGACCAGCCCCCTGCAGGCCTCCAGGCACGGCCGGCCTCCGACTCGTCCTCGTGCGTCTCCTAGTCCCTGTGACAGTGCTTTGCACAATCTAGATTTATTTGTGCCTTGGGTTGTTTCAAAAGGGATTTGGAGTGGCTCATGAAGATACGATGCGAGATATGTGCTTAAGTATAAAATAATTGAAAAATTTGGGATTGAAATAAGTGTGGGAAGAGAAAAGAGAAAATAGGTGATTAGACGCGTCAAACGACTGCTGTCTGCGTTGGTTCTCAGCCCCTGGGGGCTCGTGTGAAGAGGGGCAGAGTGATGTCTGCTTTGTGGAAGAGGCCTAATGGGATAAAGACAGCAACGGCTTGTAATGATACTGAGGACCAAGTAGTTTCCCTCCAGGGCCTCATCGCAAGGGTGCCGAGGGGCGTCGTTCAGGAACCCCTGTGTCGATTAGTACTGACTCGGTCAGAGCACGTTTCTTCAGTGCAGGTGGAGTTTGGCAGCTTCTGCCGAGAGCCGCCTCACCGAAGGCCCGCTGGCCGCCTGGTGAGCCCCGAGCCTTCCGCCCGCTTCCCTGTAACACAGGGCTCCTTACTCTGGTAAAGCTCATGCCCTCTTCTAAGAAACATGCAACTCTCACACATCTTCATTCTGACAAAAATCTCCCTCAGGTCCGTTATATCCAACCTCTTATCCTCACCAGCTGAGAATATGTCATCTTGCTTTTTCTTATGTTGGTATTATAAAAGCAAGTTACTCCTCTCATATACAGTTACATTATTATATTACATATGACTTTCAAATTGTAGATTCTTGTCTATAATTTACCAATAGTAGGAGTTTCCGGAATGACACCTACTCTTGGCTAAGAATCCTCTCTCTTGAACCCTCACTTTAATTGGCCAGTTTACGTCGATTGGTAAGCTTGATTCCAGGAGTCTAGTTAAAAGAATTTGTATTCAGGACGTGCATCGTGCAAGTCAGTCAGTCAGTCAGTCAGCTTTTAGTTCGATCAAAGCTGTCCACCTGCCAATTTGTTTACGTGAAAAGGAGAGAACCTTGTGTAGAACTGGCTTCTTAAGAGTTGATCAACAGTTGAACTATGCCAGCATTTTAGTTGATCAAGCAGCTCGCAGCATTATGGGCATTTTGCCAACTGCTGTGCCAACCCTGGGCCTTTGCTGCTTGTCCAGGGAAGCTTTTTGCCTGTAATGGGCTTCGGGTTCAGAGCTCGCTTTGCTTTTGCCTTTAGCGAAGTCTCCGCTGCCCGGAGAAGCCAGGACCCAGCCAATAATATTGAGTACTTAGAATTGGTCATGCACTCTGCTAAGTACGTTTGAATTTATAATAGATGTTTATTCTCTTTCATTTAGTCCTCAAAATAAACTCCGTTTTACAAAAGAGAGAAACCAGAAGTTCAGAGATTTGCCCGCACCTTCGAGTTCCTGCATGACGAGCCGGAACTTGAAGTCAGTTGCTTTATCATGTGACAATGCTGAGTGTCGTAACCCGTTTTCTCCCTTTCTAAAGGCTGGTGATACTCTTATTTGGAATAAACCCCACAATAGCAAAGCCCTTGGAAATTTTCCTTCAGAGTCTCTGGACTGTTCTTTTGTGGATTTGCTCAGACAGAGGGAGATTCTCAGGCAGATTTCCAAGCACTTAAACTTCTTCGATGTTTTACGAGTATTTATTTCAGTAAGAGTGACTGAAATGCCCCCTGAAATACGTGACTTGTTAACACCCAGCGAGTCACCCAGGCCGGGCCTGGGCCGGGCCTCCTGCTGCCTCATTGTCCTCTCTGGGTCCCTGAGCGTCTCCCTGGGAGCGGCTGAGCTTTTTTGGTCCCTGTGGGGATGGTCATCACTGTCTCATTGGATGTAGGTATTTTCTCTTTTTGTGAATATTGCCTTTTTTTAAAAATTGCATTTTGACAATTTCAGTTTCTGAAATATTTCCTTATTAATGCCTAAGGTTCTGGTTTTCTAGCTAATTCGCGTTCCTTCCGACTCTGGGAAATTGTCTGAAATAGCCCTGATTCTCCCTTTGGCCTTGAGTCTGCCGTTTTCCTGACTCTACAGCCCCTTCCTTATTCTGAAACCAAAGAGAAAGAGCTGCGATATCTCAGGGTGTCCTCGTGGGCTCCCCAGCCACCCAGCAGGGCATCTGTGCTCGGAGGTTTCTCAGGGGAGGGGTTTTGCCCCCTCCTGTTCTGAGCAGCTCTATGCTTGTCATCATTGCTTTTCACCAAACTCGTTGATGTCTAATTTAAATTTCTGCTTTCACTCTCTTTTGTTCTCTGTACCTTTCATTGTTTGAAGTCCACACTCTGGTTTTCTCCATTTGTTTCATTTCTCTGCAACTAACTTGCTTTGTGCCTGAGTTAGCTCATCTATAAAATGGACATAATACTAGTCTTTAATACATCAGAATAGTGTTGGTGACCAAAGGAAAACAACAAAGACTCATTGTGAAAGGTGTTACCTGCAATGGATTCTACTTTAATGAAAATACAGCAAATAGTAATATATGTCCTTTATTTTAAGCAATCTTTGATTTAAAACCATGGTGTTTTTTTTAAAACATTTGAGTGAGAGAGAGGGAGGGAGGGAAACATGGATTTGTGGTTCTACTTTCTGTGCATTCAGTGGTCGATTCTTGTACGTGCTCTGACTTGGGATCGAGCCTGCAGCCTTGGTGCATTGGGGCAGTGCTCTAGCCAACTAAGCTAGACGGCCAGGGTCCAGTTTAAATGCTTTGTTGGTGTTAGTTATAACTACTTGTCATGTATTTTTCCCCTCCTTAGTCATCTTTTGGATTATCCTGTGAGTCTTCTCTGCATCCACTGTGGACGTCCTCGAATGCTGTAGAAACCTGGGGAGGGCCGGGAGTGAGCTGTGGTGACTTCCCTGGGCACCTCCCTGTGCTCACGGTCAGTCTTCCCAGTGGGAGGGACGGGGCCTTGGGACTTCCCGGCCCGGGAGCGGCGGCCCGGCTGCTATCTCCGGGGTCCTCAGGGCCCCTTTGTTCCTGTGCCAAGGCTGAAAGATAAAATGACCCCGGGGCACCTGGGGGCAGCCTCCAGGCTGTCAGAGGAGGCTTGGCCTAATCAGGGCAGGACCCCGAGGTCCCTGCAGAAGAGAGGTGAAGCTCTGAATTCAGTGCCTGCTCCCCTTTCCCCTGAAAAATCCAAACCAACTTGATGTTTAAAATTGGGATGGTAAAACGGAAGGGGTGTGGTTTAGGAAAAGCAGCCTCTGCCCTGATGGAGTGGTCCCAACAGACCCCAAGTCAGATTCCGGCGTGGCGTCTGCGCCAGTGACTCGGTCTGGAGCCGGTTTCCAGCTACAAAGTGAGAGGTGAACCCGCCAGGTGAGATCCCTGCGAACATTTCGGCAGGCAGCACTCCGTGCCAGCTCCTGTGTTTTCCCACCCATCACTGCATCCGAGGGCCAGAGGAGACAGAATGGACCTGCGGCTGATGCAGAGGAGAGGGAGGGCGTCGCTGGGCCGGGGGGGGGGGGGTGGGGACACTGTAACAGGAAGTGACAAGAGCTCTATCTGCACACCAGGGCTGAGCAGTGAAGAGAGTGCAGAGAGGTGTAAATGCCAGGGTGGGAGAAGCAGGGCGGCTGGGGGAAGAGCCAGGGCCGGAAGTGGAGGGGCCCTGTCCTGTGCGCCCTGTCCCAGGAGGTCAGCACGACAAGTGGCTCCTCGCACACGCTTCCCCTTTGGGGGTGGTGATCCACAGGGCCGCCGGCCTAATGGTGCCATTACTGAGCAGGCTCTGTCGCAGCCATAGCATGCGGTGCTTCGAGGCGGGATCCAGGGCCCAGGGGTGGGCCCCACCGCATGCCTCCGCCCCCCTCCGCCCCCCTCCGCGGTCACTCCTGTGCACTCCCCTCTTCGTGAGATTTCCCTTTTGTCTCTCCTCCTTCAGTGCCCTGCACAGGGCTCTGAACTTAAGTGTTTAGGAAACATTTAAGCAGAAAAAAATGTGTTATTTTGGAGCGCGGCTTCTTCGCCTACTCGAAAAGCGATGCCCCTGACCCAGAGACTGGACAGTTCCCTGGGGGAGGCCGCGCTCCAGGACGGCTGCTTTCTACCACACAGAAAACTGCTAAAAATGCAAAAGTAAAAAAAAATAGGGCAGTGTGGCTATTCCCATAGTATGTCGAAGGGAAGTGAGGTTCCAGGGTGTCACACAGCTTGCGCGGGACTCCCTGTCCGTGCCCACTCCCCTGAGGCAGCCATCCGCCCCCTCCGGCTGGCGGCCGGGCTCTCCCCAGCACGGTGCCCATCGGGCGGGGCCTCATCCCGTCGCTGTCATTCTACTTCCCGGCCCCCAGCTCCTGCTGTGATTTCTGCTGAGTGCTGAGTGCTAGCCTGGGGCGGAGAGAGAGCCGGCCGGGGTCCGCGGGAGGGAGGGACGCGCGCCCCCCCCCCGCCCCCGCCCCGTGTGCTGCTGGAGGAGGCATCCTTGCCCCGCTCTTACCCTTACGGAGGGAGGCTTCCAGGTGGGGGGCGTGCGCAGGGGAGGCCGGAACACCTCGCGGGAGCGGTGCCCACGGGGTTATGTGGGACCCGGTGGAAGGGCTGGCGGGGCGGGGCGGAAGCCAGGGGCGGCTTCCCAGGCAGGCTCCGCCCCCGGCCGCGGGTTTAAAAACGGGAAGGCGGGCGCTGGAGACGGGAGCCGCTGGAAAGGCCCGCAAGCTCTTCTCAGTGCGGCCGGGCAGAGCCATGGCCCTGCGGGCGCGGGGTGCTCAGCGGCTGGGCGGCATCCTGCTCTTCGCTCTGCTCGCTGCGAGTGCCGCCTCACTCAGCTGGGATCTCCCCGAGCCCCGCGGCCGGGCCAGCAAAATCCGAGTGCACCCGCGGGGCAACCTCTGGGCCACCGGTAAGTCTTTGGGACCCGGGCAGATGCCCCTCACCACCGTGCTCTCAACCCCTTTTCCTTCTCTGGCTGCCCGTCAGCCACAGACAGAGTGTCTGGGCTGGTGGAGACCCTGGCGCTCATCTGATTCAGTAGATGGAGAATGTGAGACCCAGACAGGTCAGTGGGTGGCCAAGGTCCCTCAGCCAGTTTGAAGCGGAGCTGAGGCTGGAACCGACATCTGCCTGCGCGCTGGGGGCCCTTCCCTTAAGCAAGACCCTGCTGACTTATCTAACCTCCTTGTGTCTTCTCCCTGCACCTCCACCTCCCAGACCCCTCTTTCTTCTCCACTTCCTTCTCTGCCTTTTGCCATCCTCTTCTAAGCAGGCCCTAGTTGCCCCCTGGCCCTGGCCCAGGCCCACCCCACCCCCTCCACCTGTTAGGAAAAGTTGAGGTACAGGCTTGGCCACCACACAGGGATCTTTAGGGCTCCTCAGTGAAGAGGAAGGAGGTTGCATATACTCCTGCCATGAGAACTAAAAGGTGGGTGAGACAGGGAGCTTTCCTGCTGTGACAGGACCCTTGCTCCCTGATTTCCTGGTGCCTCGGCACCTCCTTTCTAGGTCACTTCATGGGCAAGAAGAGTCTGAAGCCCCCCAGCCCACCCCTACTGGGGGCAGCTCCCCACTTCTCCCCGAGGGACCAGAGACTGCAGCTGAGTCACGATCTGCTCAGGATCCTCCTGCTGAAGAAAGCTCTGGGCCTGGGCCCCGGCGGCCCACCACCTCCCACCCGGGTGAGCCAGGCCCCCACCTCGCGCCCAGGAAGGCTCGGCCAGGGCTGCCCCGGGGCCCAGCACTGGGCTTAGTGCCCGGCCAGGCGGGATGGGCCCCAGAAAGCCAGGGATTCCAGGCTCTCCCTGTGATCCAGAGCTCAGAGGGAGAGGACTCAAAAGAAAGGAAGGCAGGTGAAGAAATAAAGAAATTAATAATAATAAAAGGAAGCCGACCTTCCCAGCAAACCCCAGAGTAAGAAGAAGGAGAAGTTTCCCCTCTCCAGTCGCCCAGCCTGCAGTCAGCCTCTTGCAGCTGGACCTTCCCCAGACACCCAGCCCTCTATCCTTGCTGTGCCCAGTGTGTGCTGGCGGTTAGAGTTGGGACTTGTGAGGCCCACAGAGGGGGAGAGAAGAGTCAGTCAGCAGCCGAGACGGAGTCCGACCTTGTTCACCCTGACCAGTGCTCTTCCCAGTCTGTCGTCTGCCTCAGTGACCTGTGGCAGGCTTTCTCAGCCTCAGCACATTCTGGGCTGGGTAACCCTTTGTGGTGGGGGCTGTCCTGTGCATTGTAGGAAGCTTAGCAGCCTCCCTGGTCTCTGTGCACTAGATCGTCTCCCTACCTCCCTAATTGTGACAACCAAAAATGTCTTCAGACGCTGCCAGAGGTGCTCTGATAGAGAGATGGGTGAGAGTTAAAATCACCCTTGGAGGTAAACTACTGACCCATGGGGCTCAAGGCCCCAGAGCTAAAGCCAAGCCAGCCTTAGTCTCTAGCTACTCCCTGCCCCTGGTTCTGTCCCCATCCCACCCCACCTCCCCTGGTACTTAGCTGCTGTGTGCGGAAGGCAGAGTGAGGTGGTCGGTGAGGGGTCTGGTGACTGTGTGCTAGGCTGAAAACCTAGCTACTTAGTAGCTGTGTGACCTTTGAAATGTCACTTAACCTCTCTAAGCCTCATCATCTTCATCCATAAAATGGGGGTAAATAGTGCTCATCTCCCATTAAATGAGACCACGTCATGTGCTGAGCGCATATGCTGGGTGCATAGAAAGCACTTAGTAAACCGGAGCTAGTACAGACTGAATGCTCTTGCAGCACCTGTTGCTGACTCACCTTTGCATCCCCCACTGGGCCTAGCATGGAGTGCATCCATTTTGAGAGAAGGGAGGGGCATGCCCTAGAGAAGGCCCAGCTGCAGTCAACCTTCCTGACCCTCCTGATGCACAGAACCACCCTGCCCCGGGGACCTCAGATGAAAGGGTTAGGCAAGAGCTTGAGTTGGCTGAGTCTGAAGGGAGATGATGCCGTCTCTGGCGCCGTTGGTCTCGAAGGCCTGAAACATGCAGACCAACTAGAAAATCTCAAACGACGTAGTACCTAGCCCTGGGGGTGGGTGTCAGAAGTAGTTTGGGGGAGTGAAAACACTGGCCCTGGCAAGGGGGCCGGTCACCATGCGTGGACTTTACTTCCCTGATCTCCCTTCACTGTCATGACTGTGAGGGTGGGGCTGTTATTATGAGAAAACCACTGCCCCAACCCCTTCCAGGCCCTTCTTCAGGAAGAGAGGTGCTGGGGGCCTGCCTCCAAGGACAGCCTGCGGCTCTCTAACTCTGGATGCCTAGCACCGAGGAATGGCAGGATGCCCCTATCGTTTGCCCCTCTGCCCAGGCCAATTCCTGTGTGTTCCCTTTCAGTACAGGAGGCTGCTGGTGGACATGCTGCGGAAGTGATGCCATTAGTGAGGAAGATGCGACAACGTGGCTTAGATTGTGCCCACCCAGGGAAGGTGCTGAATGGGACCCTAATAGTGGCCCCATCTGGATGTATATCCTGGGCTCAAATCTCTGTTACTCCATTACTGTGATTTCTGGTCGGGTCACTGGGAATGTCGCCAAGGCAGACACAAATTATGTCCCTGCTGTATTTCTTGCTTCCCTGTTGAAGTGGTGAATAAAAAAACCTGCTCTCTACATAAAATGTCCGGCCCTCTCCTTCCAGCATGTTCGAGGGGGTGGGAGGGAAAGGGAGCTGGAGGATGGGGTATTCAAGTGGGATGGGGCTGGCTGTGAAAAGCACAGAACACCCCATGGCACCAGCTGGGCACTGACCCAGGACTCCTACTCGCTACCTCATTCAGCAAGCGGGTACTCGGACACCACCTGCTGAACGCCAGGCAATTGGTTCTACTCTCGCCTCTGCCACCTACTGGCACAGGCAAGTCTTATGTTTCCTAGCCCTTGCCCACTTGACACGGGGCTTTGCTTCTCCCATTCATTTCATCCTCGTGCCAAGCTTTGAGGGGAGCCCCCAGCGCATACAAGGATGGGAGCCCAGCTGGAGTCCAACTCTGCTGCTCTCTCAACTCTTCCCTGGCTTTCCGTAGGACTGCCAGAGATAGCAAAAAATACAGGATACCCAGTTAAATTAGAATTTCAGATAAAGTTTTTTCTATAAAATGCCCTAATCTTGCACGGACATAATTTTAAGAAAAAATTACTCGTTTACCTAAAATTCGAATTTTACCGGGCGTCCTGTATCTTACCTGGCCTTGGGCTTCTGAGCTTCAAATAACACGATCGTAGAGGACGGTGTTTGGTCACTCAGGCCCCGCCCGGAGCCGACATTCTAGGAATTCCTGATTTAAGTCATTTCTCCAGAGCGTTTGCCGGGAGAACCAGGAACCTAAGCCGGCGGAGGGCACCGCGCCTCGGTGGCTGCGCTCCGACTAGCCTAAGCCCCGCCCCCTGGCTTGAGGGCGCGCCCCTTGCGTCAGAGCGGACTGCGCCCACTCCTCGCGAGAAGACTGCTTGGCCGGGGAAGGTTCCGAGGCGGAAGTTGAGAACCGGAAGTGGTAATTGCCATGGAGCTTGCGGAAGACTGGCTGGTGGAATCCTTGCGCTTGTAAATCGTGTGGGCCTGGGATGGGGAAGGATGGGGGACTCGGGAGCGGAGCTGGCCTGGCGGGCGGGCGGGCGGGCAGACGAGAGGTGCCACACGTAGGGAATCCTGGTCTGGGCGGGGAGGGCGCAGGCCGCGGGGCGGGGCCGCACGGAGGACTCCGCCGGGGCCTCGGCTCCCGCTTCTGCAAAGTGGCACCTTCCCGTGTGCGCAAGTTGTGTGAGGTGCTAGTGAGAGAGCCGTGCTTGTGGCGGGTAATAATACGTGTCCGCTTATTTTGCGTCAACCTTTGCCTTGAACCCCAGATTATCTCATGGATTCCTCCCATCAACATGGGGGAGTCGGGGTGCTCTGGGAGTTCCCAGAATCAGGGGAATCGTGACTGGCCTGCTTGCTTCCAGTCACACAGGGAGAAAAATGTGTGACAAGACTTGATCCTGGGTTCAGCAGACTCCAGAGCCGGGGCCCCAAACACCGAACCATGCCACCGTCTCAGAGTTCTTTAACAACTATAAAGTGCTGGGCGCTGTGTGACTTTGTGTCCCTATCGTTCAGGTACCAGGACTTCCATGCATTTGACCTCTCAAGTGCCACGCGAGTCCTTGAATGGATTGGTGACAAAGGTGAGGAGATGGAATCCACCGTCACCCTGGGACGCTGGAGCTCAGCCCAGGGGGACCCAACCCACTCTTCTGAGAGCCTCTTGGTCACTTGGGGCAATTTTGCGCCCGGCCAGCTTAAGAGCGGGCGCTGTTCCATCCCCCAGGACAAAGCTGCATATCAGTGATAAAGGAGTTCAGTGAGTTTGGCAGAGTTTCTAGACCCAGCCACAGTCCAGGATCTTTCTAGCAGTTTGTCACCACTACTTCTGCTTCTTTTTCCAGGAGTTTTTGTTGCTGGCTCTGAAAGCCTGAAAAAAAATGAAATTCTTCATCTGATGTTACCTCTCAGACTGTCTGTAAAAGAAAACCAGGTAACTTGAAACAGAAATGCTGCATGTATGTGTCTACTTCTAGTCATCTATTAAACATTTATGGTGCTCCTGTTGTCTACTAGCTATTGTCCTGGATGCTGGAAAGAGAAAGAGAATGGAGAGACAAACGCTGGGCCTGCCCTTCTAGTCTAATAGAGGGAGGCAAAAATGCACAGAGATGAGTATGAAGGTCTATCTTGTGATTTTCAGATGGTTACTAAAAAAAAAGAGATCAATTTTAGCTTATCAAAAATAGATTCAGGGAGCCATTAAGGTATAGAGGGTGGTTAAAACCCTTAGGATGATCAAGAATGGATGTGTAATGTATAAGGAATAAGAGGGGAAGATGCCTAAAGACAGAAGGATTAGGCAGAGGAAGATGAACCCACAAGGAATACTAAGAAGGAATAATCTTAAAACACGAGGAGCGCCCTGGCCAGTGTGGCTCATTTTGTTGGGCATCTTCCCTCTCACTGAAAGGCTGCTGGTTCAATTCCCGATCAGGACACATGCCTGGGTTACTGGTCTTGTCCTTTGGGGCACATGTGGAAGGCAGCCTGTTGATGTTTTTCTCTTTTCTTCCTCCCTCCCTTCCCCTCACTCTAGATCAAAACTAAAAAATAAAAAAAGTAGGAGGAGTCTCAGAAAAGGTCAGGGTTTCAGAAGCCAAGAGAAGATGATATGTCAAAAGAGTTGGTAGCTGCCTGGTGTTGCTGTAAAATCATTGTGACTCCTCTGGCGGTGCAGCCTGGTCCTTGTTGCCCCGGGGGATTTCCCACCTAATGCTGTTGATCTCCTGGGCCCCACCCTCAAGCTTGAGCCCAGACTGGGCCTTTATGAGAGACCTGCTTTACCTCCCCTCACCACTGGCTTTTCTTTTTCCCTCTTGTGCCACTTCCTTTTCCCCTGCCTCCAGTTCCTCGCATGGAGATGGTGTAGTCGCTAAAGGTTTGGACTTGGTAGACAGACTTGGGTTCAAGTTCACAACATAATTCTTCTGTGATCTTAGAAAACTTGATTCAATTCTCTGTGCCTTAGTTTTGTCATTTTAGAACACGGATCATTATAGCACTTACACCTCACATGGTGTTTCTAAGAATTCATCAAGATAAAGTAGATAAAGCACTAAACACAGCTCCTGATACAGTAATGCTGGATAATTGGTCGTTATATTTTTTATTGCCAGAAGAACCCACCTGACTTCCAGTGGGAGGTGCAGGGGAAATGGGGGTGTGTTTGTTGGCTGATAACTTCCAGCTTTTTCTTTTTTTTTCCCCTATAAAGTTGTTAAGTCTCTGCAACTCCTTTGAGAAGGCCTGGAGTGTAACACTTGTGCTAGAGTGAAAGGGTTGGGGAAAGGTTAGGAGAGGGCTTTGGCCGCACAGGAAAGGAAGGCAGCTGTCCACGGAGGCAGCTGAGACCTACGCTGGCAACAGCAGCGCACGAGGCCCCGCAGGGAGAAGCATCTCTTGCCAGCAGAGCGGCGTCCGTGGCTTCCTGCCAGGCTGGAATCTGGCTCTTTACCTAGAGCTTGTCTGAAACGTTCCTTTGGAGAGCCGGCTCTATCTGATTGGCTGCCCCTCTGTGTTTCAGGGCTTATTTCCAGAAAGAGATTTCAAGGTGTGCCATGGAGGATTTTCTGACAGGTCTGTCTTTGATCTGAAGCACGTGCCAGACACCAGGTATGGTCAGCTCTGTGACCCAGACCGTCCATTCAAGAGGCAGTGGCTGGAAACGTCAAGGGTATCCTACCTCTTGAGCACCTCCCCTCCCCGCCCCCCTCAGCACACGCACACAGAAATCTGGAGTACAAAGAATCTGTTGCTTGGTGGCTTCATGGTCCCTCAGAAGACCTTTCGATGACTATGACACACAGATCTGGAGCTGCCCAGAGAGACAGAGTAGAAGGACACTCAGATTCCCAGAGAGCGGGTGGCGGGTGACGGGGGCTGATCACTCAGCGGGCAGAGGCTGAGGTCAGAACTGTGTTTGCACTCCACGCTGGTGTCATCTCTAGGCCATTTCATGCCACGGGGAAGGCTGTGCTCTGGCCCGTGACTCTCCGTGGCTGTGGGTCCTCCCCAAGAGTGGAGTGAGCCTGCTTCTCCTCTGTTCAGTGAGGGTAATTGGTCAGGACAGTCCCTTCCTGCAGTGAGCGTGCCTGAGGTGGGCGTGTAGGAGTCAGTCCCAAGCTGAGGGGCTGCAGAGGGGAGAGGCTGGCAGGTGTGTGGGTGAGCTCCCCGCTGTCTGAACTGAACTGAGGTTTCCTCTCTGCCCTGAATAGGTTGCTGGTGACCAGTGGCCTTCCAGGTTGTTACCTGCAGGTGTGGCAGGTCGCAGAAGACAGTGGTGAGTGAATTTGACTTGGTGTGGGTTGAGACACACACCTCCATCCCCTAATCTGAGCGAACTAAGAAGTAGACTCAGAGCCAGGCAGGAATTAAAATTCAGTGTATACCTTAATGCAGGCAGAGGACAGCACCCAAGCCCCAAATGGAGCTTCCTGTCTCTTACTTCGGGAATTGAGCCCACCCCCCAGTCACAGGCAGGGCATGGAGTGAACCATCTCTCCCCCGCGCAGGTGCAGTGGCAGCGCCCAGGAGTGAGCTCGCCTCCTGGAGGGGGAGGAGGCAGCCAGGGTCCCCTCTTGGCTGGCATGGTAGCCTCAGGGAAGGAAAGCGGAGTGAGCAAGAGGCTTGGCTGACCGTGTCTCCCTCAGAGACGTCACTCTGTTCCCACCGCCTCTGGGAGCGCAGGGGAGTTCCCTCTGCACACACACCCCGCCCCCTGGTCGTCGGGCAGGTGCCAGAGCCCGCAGCCCTGATCCAGCCCCTGTGCCCCGCCTCCAGTTAGGGCCTTGTTGGCCAGCCTGTGTGATTGATTCTCTGCCAGCCAGCGGGTCCCCACACCACCACATTTGGACGCTTCCCAGAAGCTGGCCGCGGGTGCTGGCTTCTCTCCAGGCGTCATTGTTGCACAAGGGCAGTTCGTGTACTCCTTGGCTTTGAAGTCACTGGCCCTATGTACCTTCCTTTATTGTTTCCTTTTTGTCACTTCCTCATCACTTCCAGGTGTTTGCATCACTTACTTGTAGTTATAATTGCTTTTTATATACTCTTACCGAAATTCACCCAGTTTTGGTATACAATGCAGTGATTTTTAGTAAATTTAATAAGTTGTGCAACCATCACTATAAATCAATATTTAGACCGTTTTCGTAACTCCGGTTAAGATCCACCTGCCATTTACTGGTCATCTCACGCCCGTGCCCTGCCCCAGGCACCCGATAATCCTCTCTCTGCCTCTGTGAATTCCATTTCGCATCCATGGAATCATATATGTGGTCTCTTACATCCGACTTCTCTCGCTTCGCATAATGCTTTGAGGTCCGCATGTCATACTGCATCCTAGCTCCTATCAGTAGCTTGTTCCCTTCCATTGTCCGGATGCACCACATTTGCTTCTTTGTCCACCAGTTGATGGGTTTGATTTTGGGCTATTATGAATAATGCTGCTAAGAACGTCCATTGGTAAATCTCTGTGAACATACGTATGTTTTCATCTCTCCTGGATACACAATGAAATTGCGCGGCCATGTGGTAAATTTATGTTTGATATTTCTAGAAGCTTCCCAACTGTTTTCCATCATTTTCAGTTCCACCAACAACGTATGAGGATTCCCATTTGTCCATCTTAACGGGTGTGAAATTGTGTATCATTGTGGCTTTTATTCACACTTTCTTCTTGACTAATAGTGTGGAACATCTTTTCATGTGAGCAGTTCATACATTTTCTTTGGGGAAATGCCTATTCAGATCTTTATGGAGAAGTTGTTTCTTTCCCAGCAGACTGAGGCAGTAGGCTGTCACGGGCCCTTTGGTGTTCGGCTTTGTACCTTTCACAGACACTTGTCCAGGTTAATCAACAGTCTGTGAGATGTAACAGTAATGTTAATGGTTGCATATCATACCCCAAGCACTGTACTAAGCACTTTCCGTGTGTGAGGTCTCACTAAATTCTCAGGAGCCTGAGAACAAATTTTGACCCGGAGAAGCTAACTTGTTTATATTCACAAAAGTAGCAGCCGAGCCCAGACTTAGGTCGGACTTGAGAGTCTGCTCATAACCATATGCCGGGTAGTGACTTTAGTTTGATAGTAGTAGTTGATCTCAATATAATGTAGGGCTCTGAGAGAGGTGCCGGGGCTTTTACTGACCGGCAGTGTGCACTGCGCCCACAGTTTGCCCTGAACGGGTTCCTAGAGGTAGATCTGTCGATGAAAGGACACGTTTATAATAGTAACAGTAATAGTTACTGTTACTACTATTTGTAGCAGTAGTAACAGTAATAGTTACTGTTACCATTATTTGTAGCAGTAGTGAAGCCCTGGGCGAGGCTCTGGGGATTCATCAGCCATGAGGTCTAATTTATGACTGTTAGCTGTTAGGGACCGCGCTTTTCATGACATAGCTAAGAAATCTGTACCCAATTCATAAATTTTCCCCTGTGGTTTTTTTCCCCAAAAGTTTTGATTTTTTTGCTCCAACATTTGAATCTGTGCTCTCTTTAGAGTTAACTTTGGTGTGTGGTATGAGGTAAGGGTGGTCTACATTTATCTTTTTGCATGTGAGTAGCCAGTTGTCCCAGCACCGTTTGTCAAAAAACCTAACCGTTCTCCATCGACTTGCCTTGGTGCTTGTGTTGAAAATCAATTGACCAAAAACATGAGGATTCACTTCTGGACTTGCAGTTCTGTTCCATCGATCTTTACGTCTGTCCTTATGCCAGTAACTTGTAATTTGTCCGGAAATAGGCTGTGTGGCGCCGCAGTGGTTTAAAGATGAGAGGAGGAGGAGTCTCCCACCGTCTGGAGGCGCCTTGGGGCTGCCTCTTGTCCGGACAGGACTGGGCACCAGTGCCCTGCAGCCTGTAGCCCCAGGCCCAGGGGAGCTAAGGGGTCTGGGCGGCTTGCCCTGATACTCATGTGGGAGTAGGAAATCAGCCAGAGAGTTTTATCTTCCCTAGATACTAGTGCAGAATATTCTAGAGCCTGGAGAAAGCCAGCCAGCTGTTTTCCTAGAGACCTAAAAGCATAGCAGTATTTTGGTGAAGTTTCCAAGCTTCAGTTTTGACCTGCAGCTTTGGTATCTGAACACCTGATTTTGTCAGCACATCTAAGACAAATCTAATCTGTTTTGGGGGCAGACGCACTCATCAGACTCACAGGGCTGCCATATGAACCAGAAAACAACTTTATTACTGTAGGATGAAGAAATAACTGTCCCCCACAGTGGAATCTTTCAGGTCCTTGTTGCCCGTAGAAGACCTAACCTGACCCAAGGCTGCATGGTGAACATGGCGTCACAACAGGGGGATCAGCTCAGAGTCCCCCCGAGAGTGTTGCCAAAGGTGTCTTAGGGGGAGCGTGGACCGGGTGGAGGCCGAGCTCTGTGTTTCTCTCTTTTGTGTTGGTTTAATTTTCAGACACAACTTTTTTTCCCCCCTAATCACCAAGTTCTCGGAGCTGCCTTCCTGTGTCTTTGCTTTGGTAGTTTCTCGGTGCACTTGGGGGCAGCTCTGGTAAATGTGGTGTGGGTTTTCCTAGAGGGCGGGTGTTTTCCCTGTGATTGGAGCGAGAAGAGGGAGAAGCCTGTGTTTCTCTTCCGTTGCGACTGTGGAGCAGGTCTCTAGTCGCGAGGCTCCAAAGCCCTTATTTTCTGCTGCATCTGTGAGATCGGTCTTTGAAGCCTTCCCCTTGGCTGCCTCCTTCCCCCTCATCAGGGCACAGATCACATCTGACACGCCCTGGCTCAGAGCAGGAGGTCCTGGGGAATCTGTTGCAGGCTCCTCAGAGTCGGTGGGAAAGGAGGAAGGAGCTGCTGGGCTTCAGTGTGGCCTGGGGGAGTCAGAAAGCTCTGCTGGGGCTGGTTTGAGTCACAGCCTCATTGGCTCTCCCCGGAGACACACTCTGGTCCTGAGGCTCAGCTGTTGCATCTGCTGTGAACCTTTGCAGCTGCCGCAGTGGGAGCGGACAAGGGAAGCCAGCCCGATTCCGCGCGCCAAGAGCCTGCAGGCGTGGGGGGCAGTCTGCGCTGAAGGGCCCAGGCATTCTCGGCAGCCCAGACAGGTCCCTCTGCGCGCCCCTTGCTCGTGGCCTGCCTCGAGGGCCTTGCTCACGGGCTTGCTGCCTGCCTAAGTCCTGTCAGTGTTCCTTCTTGCACCCATTCTGTTCACATCCTGACTTTTACCAATCCTTTACAATTTAAAAAATACATAGATCTCCCTTTTCCTCACAGAATGTGGGAACCAAAGAATGAGCGCCCTCTTGCAGCAACAAAATAGGCCCCTCCCTTTAAGTGGTTTGTACAGCAGACTGCTTGTTCTGAACGAGGCTGCAGATGGCTTCTGCTAAGAGAAGCCTCGACTGTAGATGCAGAGACAGGAGCCCGCCTGCCCGCTGAGCAGGCCGAGACAAAGAAAACTGACGTGTGATTCAGCTTGAGGTTGCATGTCTTTCCCTTGTTCAGTGTGAAAGGGCCGTGGACTTCCCTGTCCAGTTTGTGTTTGACATTGTAACCTTTGTGTGCGAGGCTTCAGCAAAGTGTGAGATCATAGAATATGTTTCTGAAGAAAAAATACTAGTCCATGAACCCTGTACCTGTTATTTTCACTTAAGGTGTAAACAACACCATGAGCGTGTTCTTTCCTTTTCTCTTCTTTTATTTGTACTCCACAGAACTATAAAAAGCCAGAACTGCTTTTGGGGGGCTGTGATTCCTTATCTCCCATTTGCAAAACAGTTCATAAGACAAATTATGAAGACGTTGAAGTGCCTCTGACAGTTTCAAAATGGGAACATAACTCAGAGTGTTTATGTTTCCACATCGTCTCTTGCCAGCTGTCAGCTCCCTTTCGTCCCTGACCTTCTAAACGTACAGGGGAAGACTGCGGCTGGCTGGCTCTCACCATGTAATGTTTCAAGCCATCGTTAATGTTCTGGATTTTCGCCGCTTCCCCTTTCCCCTAGATGTCATCAAAGCCGTCAGCACCATTGCGGTGCACGAGGAAGAGCGGAGTCTCTGGCCCAGGGTCTCTGTCTTCTCAGCAGCGGCCCCCGGCGTGCTGCACGGGGTGCGGCTCAGCGACCTGAAGGTTGTGGACCTGGAATCCCAGAAGGCCACGTACACCTCAGGTGCGGCGCAGTGTGCCCCTTGCCAGCTCCTCCAGCCACTCTCTGCTTCCCCGCCCTGCTCAGCCACGGGGTCAGGGTCACAAGATGAGTGACAGTTCAGCTTAGGCCTCAAGGGGCTCCTGCCCCAGTACAGCTGAGGAGAAGGGCGAGGTGAACAGGAGCGGGCAGATGTGGTTCCTTCTGCCTGGGGAGGCTTCCCGGAGGGAGGGGCTTATGACCAGACAGCCCTGCCAAGTTGCCAGACCCATGTGACTCCAGCAGCTTTTCTCTTTCATCCCCTGCCTTCCAGGTGTCAGTGACAGTGAGGAGCTCAGTAGCCTGCAGGTCCTGGATGCAGACACCTTTGCCTTCTGCTGCGCCTCGGGCCGGCTGGGGCTCGTTGACACCCGCCAGAAGTGGGCGCCGTCGGAGCGTGGCAGCCCCGGCCCCGGGGGAGGGCGGTGGTGTGCAGAAGTCCGGGGCGGGGCCCAGGACCCGGGGCCCAACATCGCCAGCCTTTGTTCAGATGGGCAGCTCTGCCTCCTTGATCCTCGGGACCTCTGCAGCCCCGTGAGCTCAGTCCAGTGCCCCGTGTCCACACCCAGCCCCGACCCCGAGCTGCTGCGAGTGACCTGGGCTCCAGGCCTGGACCGCTGCTTGGCCATTTCAGGTACCGCGGAGCAGGACTTCACGCCCGTCATCTGAGCTTTCTCTCCCAGGGGACTGTCGGGTGCGCACAACTTCTGGCCCCAAACGCTGAAGCTGCTCACACAGCATCTCCAACGTAACTCTCCAGGTCCTTCAGGGGCAGGCCCTCCCCATCCTGGCTGCTAACCCTTCACACACTGGTAGCACGCTCTCCCGTCCTAGCAGGAGTTCAGCCTGAGGCCGGTCGAGAGGCCTAGGAAGCCTCCAGGAAGCCACAGGGCTGTCCCAGAAGGAAGGAAGCAATAGGATACAAGGGTGTCTCTCACTCTGCTTGCTTTTTGAATGACAGCAACTCCTCAGGCAGCAGGCTCCTGGGCCTGGCCTGGCAGTGCCCAGCTGAGTGAGGGTCTGCGATGGGGGCAGCTAATGGCCGGTAGGGAGGATCCCCTTGGTTGGGGGCAGGTTGACAGACCAGGTGAAAGAGGAAGAAAGGGTCATTGGTCATGGCAGGATCCAGGAAGAGTGGAAGAACTGAGCCTGCGGGGAGGGAGCGGCTTCTAACAAGAGGACAGCGGGATGGCGTGAGTGGGGGTAAAGCCAGGGCATGGGAGGGCCGAGGCTGCTGCTCTGAAGGCTTCTCTCCCCCCACCAGGTGGGAAAGGCCATCTGCCTAGAGAGACCCAGATGGGCTAGAATTTGGAGCAGATAGAGGTTTGAAAAACATCTGGTTCCTGGGGTAAATGTTAGTAGCTACTTCATACAATTGTGAAAATTAAAAGACAAAACGCATGGCCAGGATTAGCCTCAGGCCTGGCACAGGAGAGACATACGGCGGATTGTCGTCGTCACGTGCCCCCTGGAGTCGGCAGCTGCCGGCAGAGGGTAGGCGTTCCGTGCCCTTGGGTGGCCGTTAAGGATCTTGTTTACTATTAGAGCCTTATCCCATTGCCTGTTTTGGTACCATAGAGCAAACTTTAAAAATGGCTTTAGAGATTCAACATCAATCTTCTCATTTCTTGTTCTTCCTCAGGTTTTGATGGGACAGTCCAGGTCCATGATGTCACATCTTGGGACGGAATAGAGGGCCAAATAGAACCCCTCTTCACTCACAGAGGTCACATCTTCCTGGATGGCGATGGGACAGGCCCCGCTCCGCTGGTCACCACCCACACCTGGCACCCCCGCAAACCAAGGACCTTGTTATCAGCGGCGAGTGATGCCTCTCTGCACGTGTGGGACTGGGTGGACCTCCGCGCCCCCCGCTGACACCAGCGTCCTCCTGCCGGGCCTCCAGGAAGAGGAGCTGCTGTACGTACAACAAGGGAACTGAGTTAGGACTCAAGTGACGACAGGTCCCTGTTACCAGAGGAGGGGCCTCGGGCCAGGTTAGCAGCCTCCCTTCGCCTCAATGTCTTTATTCGTAAAATGAGAATAGTTAAGTAACTACCTCACAGGGTTGTTGGTGAAGTTAGAGGAAATATATGGAAAAACACCAGGTAGGATACTTGAAAGATTTGGTGGCTTCTCCTCTTAGATCTGAGCACTTGGGGGCGACAGGACCCTGCTGCTTACAGCAGGTTTAGGTCCCATGGGCATGTGGCGCAAGAGACGCCTTCCTGACCTAACGGGCTGCGGGAGGCACCCTCTAGAGTCACGTCGACCGTAGGCAGTCCTTCTCTGTGCACTGACTGCGGCGCACCCCCCACGCAAGCGCGGCTCCCAGCACTTCGTACAGTTGGGAGGCTGATGAGACATAGTGATGAAGACACCTGTGTGGGAGGCAGACAGACCAGGACGCAAGTCCTGCCTGTGTTCAGTTCTCTCCTCTGACGTGGGCCTATTGTAGCACCGCCTGGCGGAAGGGCTTTTGATGATCTGTGACATTGCAAAAATATAAGTTGTTGCATTAGGATGTTGGTTGGTTTCTATGAATGTTTTCAGCTTTGTCTCCATTCACCAATAGCGATAGATCACAACTTAGGTGAGAGGGCACTGACGTTAAAACGAACTTACATGGATCTTCTTACCAAGGGCAAGCGTAGAAAAAAAACCTAATTGATTTTCCAGGTCAGAATTTTGGACTCCACCAGCCTCTTGTGGGTTATATACATCTCCATGAAGAGAATTCAGTTGGTAAAAATTTACTGAGTTCCTGTCATATCCCAAGCCCTGAGCTGGGTGCTGAAGACAGAGTTTGGCACCTCAGTATGGGTGTGAACGTAAAAAATAAAAGATCCATAGGAGAGAGATGTGTGACAGGTCACAGGCACTGAAGTTGGAGAGAGTAGGGAGTGGTAGGCAGGGTCAGGCCTGCCGCAAAAATGGTGTCCTCGGGGAGGAACTGATGGGAAACGTTCTCGTAGTAAAGCTTGATAAAGACAGGTCAAGGGACTTCTGGTTCGCAACCTTCCCCTGGTGCCTAGCACAGTGATGGAATTAGTGATGGAGATTGCACAGTCAGCGTGGATCGGTTTAGCAGCGGTCACTGCCTGGGTTAGGAATCGCCTCCTCATGTCTAATTTAGTTGATTCTGGATAGAGATGATTCGGGAGGCCACCTGGCTCCTTAGCCAAAGCTGCGGCCCCAAGTCTAGGTTACAAATTGGGTAGAGCTGGCAAAGGACACTGGAAAGGTGTGAGCACTGGTCAAGCACACAGATGTAGGCTCACCCAAAAGTGTGCTCTTTGAAGCAACTGATTTTTACTCCCTGAAGGTCTTGGGCCATTTTCAGCCCGGAGCAGGAGGTGGGATGGTGGAGAGGCGAGGTGTGGGTTGGTTCAGGTTTTTTGACACATTAAAAGACAGTATCAAGCCCTGGCTGGTGTGGCTCAGTTGGAGCATCGTCCCATAAACCAAAAGGTCAGGGTATATGACTGGGTTGCAGATTCAGTTCCTGGTTGGGGTGTGTACAAGAGGCAACCAATCAATGTTTCTCTCTTACGTCAATGTTTCTCTCCCTTTCTCCCTCCCATCCCCTCTCTCTAAAATCAGTAAATTTGTCCTCAGATGAGGATAAAAAATAAGTGCATAATAAATAAAAAATAAACAACAGAGTCAGGAAAAGAATGGACTTGACTTTATTAGGGAACATTGAGCATCCATCCTATAAGAGCCAAGGTCCCATTCTGAGCACGGCTGGACGTTTTCTGGAAACATCTTACCCACTCTCCTCATAACAAACCCCTCCACCTGCCATCACCCCCATCTTTACTGTTTCAAGGCTCAAGGACTCACAAACAAAGCCCTGCTAGCACCCTAAAATCAAGGGCGACCTATGTAGGACAACTGATTTAAGCCCAGAGCTCCCCTAGGGACAGATGGCGTGTCCTCAAAACGAACACTTCCAAGTAACTTTCATAGTATACAAAAGCAACTGGACAATTCTAGCTCTGCATGTGTACAATAAAGAAACAAAACAAAACACTTGAATGAGGAGCTACCAAATGTGCAGAGCAGTGATTACGGAGCATTGTGTCCCCGGGGTAAAGACACAAGCCCACCCTGCAGAGCACAGGCCTGCTGCACCCCCGATGGAAGAGAACCTGCCTTCCACCAGGGGTGCCCAGCTGGGGGGCTCCGTCTTCACACTCAAAAACCAAGCCCCATGAAGACGCGTGCATTTCCCAGCAGCTAACTTACCACAGGACAACAGCAGGCAAGCCAACGCACACCTCGTTTCCCCCTCCCTCGGCAGGCCCGGCCCAACTCATCAGTGGAAAGGCTACCGGGACCCTGGTTCCAGGACATACCCTGTGGCTTGGTGTTTCTGACAATTTATCGAGAGAAAAGGACTGGACCTTCATGTGGTGACTCAGAATGGAAGAAGCCTCTCCACCCTGACCTGAAACGCAAGCCCAGGGCAGACCGGGAAGAAGAGCTGGCGCTGACAGGGCAAGGGGCCTGGAATGCTGGCAGCCGGGCTGCAGCCGCCTCCACCCAGCAACACAGCAGCGCGCCAGCCAGGCTGCACCAACTGAGTCCCAGAGCATCTCTGAGGACTCAGGGATGCAGGCCAGGCTGTCTGGCATTCCACCACTCCTCTGTTCTACCAAAGAGCGACTGGGCACAGAGGGACCAGCAGAGAGGAAGCCAACCAAGCCATGAAATGAAACAGAAAAAGACCCAACTTCCTGACCTTCCAGTCCTACGCTGTTTGTGGGGTTTGGCTCTGACCACTAAGACAATGGGATCCTAGGAAGGAGGATGAGCAGGGGTATGATTCTGGCAGAAATGCCAGAAGACCATTCAGGAAGAATGGCTCTTCTAGTGAGACAGCCCTACCTGGGGGCACGGTGACAATTCCCTCTCCTGTCCCAGCCCCCTCACTCTTCCTCTGCCACATCAATAAAGTTTCTCTTTCATGTGAGTTCTCTGGTGTGTAATGAAATTGGAGCTGTTGCTGAAGCCTTTGCCACACTCGGGGCACTTGTAGGGCTTCTCCCCTGTATGGATTCGCTGGTGTATGATGAGAACTGAATTCCAGCTAAAGCCCTTCCCACATTCAGGGCACCTGTAGGGTTTGTCCCCTAAGTGGGCTCTCTGGTGCATGACCAGGATGGAGCCCCGGCTGAAGCTCTTGCCGCACATGAGGCATTCGTAGGGCTTCTCGCCCGTGTGGGTCCGCTGGTGCACCACCAGCTGGGAGCGCTGGCTGAAGCACTTCCCGCACTCGCCACATTTGTAGGGTTTCTCCCCCGTGTGGATCCTCTGGTGCTTGATGAGGTTGGAGCTCCAGCTGAAGCTCTCCCCGCAGGTCAGGCACTCGTAGGGCTTTTCCCCTGTGTGCATCCCCTGGTGCGCGATCAGGCTGGAGCTCTGGCTGAAGCTCTTCCCACACTCCCCGCACTTGTACGGCTTCTCCACCAGGTGGGTTCTGCGGTGCGTGGCCAGATTGGAGCTGCGGCTGAAGCTTTTCCCACACTCGCTGCACTGATAGGGCTTCTCGCCTGTGTGAGTTCTCCGGTGGGTGATGAGGGCTGAGCTCTGGCTGAACCGCTGCCCACAGTCAGGACATTTGTACGGCTTCTCCCCAGTGTGGATCCTCTGGTGTCTGATCAGGTTGGAGTTGTAACTGAAGCTTTCGCCACATTCCTTACATTCATAGGGCTTTTCTCCAGTGTGGATTCCCTGATGTGTATTAAGGCTGGACCGATTGCCGAAGCTCTTGCCACACTCAGGGCATGAGTACGGTTTCTCTCCCGTGTGGGTTCGCTGGTGAGCGATGAGATTGGGGCTCCTGCTGAAGCTCTTGCCACACTCGGCGCACTGAAAGGGCTTCTCGCCCGTGTGGATCCTCTGGTGGGTTATGAGGTTTGCACTCCGACTAAAGCTTTTCCCACAATCCCTGCATTTATAAGGTTTCTCCCCAGTGTGAGTCGTTTGGTGTCTGCTAAAGTTTGAACCGTCACTAAAGCTTTTCCCGCATTCGTCACATTTGTAGTATTTCTCTCCCGTGTGGGTCCGCTCGTGCGTGATCAGGTGGGATTTCCGGCTGAAGGTTTTCCCGCACTGGGGACATTCATAGGGCTTCTCGCCCAGGTAGGTGCCCTGCAGGCCTATGAGCTGTCCAGCTTCCCTGCGCTGTGGCGGCGCATCCCTGTGGCCCTCGCTTGAGGCCTTTCCTCGGGGCCCCCTGGAGCCACAGTCCCTCTCAAAGTCGCTGTCCCAATCTGACTGCTGAGCACCTTCCCCTCCCGGCATTTCTGAGAAGATCTCATGCGACTCCCCGTTCTCAAATATGTCTTGATTAGAGTTCTCCCCGTTTTCACTCTGGATCTCAAAATCTGAAATAAGAAAAACATACGATTTATACTCAATTCCCTGTAATGATGTAAAAAGGAAACCCAAGGAGGAATTTTTAAAATTTCAACTTCCAGTAAAAATAAAGAGGCTAAAGAATCCTTAAAACGTTTAAAAACCAGGCTTATTTCCTTCTAACTGGTTATCTAGTTACGGGGCCTCAAACTCTCTGGCAACCACCCAGAATGTCTAAGTCTTAAAGCTGTGGGTTCTGTCTCCACTCACTTCCCCACCGGGCAGTGAGGGCCAGTGGGAGTGTGAAGATCCTGCTCGAGGGGAAGGAACAGGGTACACGACTCCCAGTGCGTACCGTGGTGCCTCGTGCTTAGTAGGCGCTCGGTTAAATGTGATGAATGAAGGAGGTTTTTATTGGTCACAGAAATCTCCCTAAAGCTGAGTCTCCTTTCTAAAGGAGCTTATATAATAATCTCATGCATTAAAAAAATACGTCCCATGTTTATAATCTTAATTGGCATGGGAGACACAGGCCAGACGATAGGAGCCCTGCAACGGGGGCTGCCGGGACCCTCCAGATGACCAGAGCCGGGAGCGGGCAGTCACAAAAGCCCTCTGCTTTATCAGCAGAGAGCGCCTGCACACAGACCTCCCATCGGTAATACAAAGTATCCACCCTCCAGAGCCTCCTCAAACCCTCCACCACCCAATGCTACCCAATGCTCCAGAAAGACAACACTGGGGAGGGCCGGGCGTCTGGAAGAACTCCCAACCCCTGCCTCAGACCACAGGCCGATACATCTCTCCCAGGATTAAGCCCAAGCCACAGAAAGCGGTGAGCCTGGAGCACACTGTCCTGACCCCAGTGAACTGCATTCGCTGAACCACGTGTGTTGCTGTAGTGGCTCTGGCCCACGGTGACACTCTAAGCAGTATCATTAGTATTTAATGGCTGTCAGGAACATTAAATGCTGCCAGGAAGTTGTTGGCAACGTTGTCTCTTGTTTCTGCCACACAATGTCCTCTTGATGAGCCCAAGGAGGAAATCCCCTGCTGACGGAAATACCAGAGACAGCCTCTGCCTCGTGCCCCCGAGGGTGGCTCGCGTCTGCGAGGGGGGCTCGCGTCTGCGTTGCCTGCTTAGGAGTTTGGAGCCAAAAACTTGGAGCAAGAGCACTGGTGTTTTTTCATTATGGAACTTGTGTTCTTGCATTTTTTTCCTCCCATTGTTTTCTCTTTTACTATAATTTCCTTGTGCACTGTAAGGTGTCAAATCCTTTTTTTGTTTAGTCTGTAGCATATACAGAAATCAATCAATGATTTATTGATAAAGATGATAGCCTGTTTATTCCTCAGACCTAACATCAGACCCCCTTAGAAAGCAAATCTGTCCCTAGCAGGGAAGACAATTAGCAAAACAGTTACACAAAGTCCTCGTGACATTTCCATTATTGAAGCTAATAAACTGTTTCTTTACAGTAATGCTCAATTCAGTGATTACTTTCTATGACTTAATGTAAATTTCCATTTATGTGCATGATAAAATTTCATGTGCATCTTTTAAATATTTAAATTGTTTTAAATTTATTTGAGAGAAAGAGAAACATTGATTTATTGTTCTACCCATTTATGCATTCACTGACTGATTCTTGTGCGTGCCCTGACCCGGGATTAAAACCACAACCTTGGAGTATTGGGACAACACTCTAACCAACTGAACAACCCAGCCAGGGCCTTGATATGTATCTTTCAGGGAGAACCTGAGTCCACTTGTACCTTTAGTCCATATAAGATTGCATTTAAACTCGCAAATAGTCATGTAACTACATTTTGCACTCACACTGACATACACGCTGCTGGCAATCGGTGAGCTCATATAATTGCCCTCTGGCCCCCTCCCCCGGATCTCCAGGGGGTGGATATAGGCATGAGGGGTATGGCGCAGGCTCCCTCCAGGCCAAGGCCCTGATTTATTTCCTCCAAGCTAACACACGCACAAAAAACATGTTTTTATGACCTTAGTAACTGTTCTTTTCTGAGTAGGAACATTAGCCATTAAAGGTTTCACTGCCTAAAAATCAGAAGCCCTGGTATGTTCTGGGATGAGCTCAGAAGCAATGGGGGAAACAAGCAAAAACTCAAACTTGATTGAGATTACGAAGAAAATTAATCTGTAGGCACTAATACATGTAAGGGCTTCCAAAGACAGCAGAGACAGCGCAGGAGCCAGTGAGGGCAGAAGGAGGAGCACTAGCAAGGAGAGTGTGTGGGGAGGGATGGGACTCAGGGGAAGTCGATCTCCAAAGGCTCAGGCAGAAAATCGCTTCCCGGAGGTCAGGGCCTGCCTTCAAGTGCAGCAGTGCCCGAGGCCCGGGGTGCGCAGAGAAGCAAACGGGTGAGGCGCCAACCACAATCACACAGCCGGGCAGGTGCCTTTGGCTCTCAGCATCAATCGTAAGAATTACTAGTATTATGGAGAAGAGTGACCACTCTTCATCCATAAAAATAGCTACATGAAGCGACCACCTCTATGAAGAAAGACCCTCCAGTACAACGTGAGGAAGAGACAGTGAAACAATGAAATGTGAGCTGGCAAAACTGAAGAAAGGAGGGTAAAATCTGGAGAAATAAACACCTACGGGGAGAAATGTGAAGGGAAACAGGTACCTTGGACAGTTACAGAAATAGAGGAGGGATGAAGTGAGGAAAGCAATGACATGAAATGGAAACAGGCGAAAAGCGTTAAAGAAAATGATAGAAGTTAGACAAAAGGAGAATCAATAAACATACTGGAGTTCTCAAAAAAGGACACTAAACCAAACAAACAGAGCAAATACTTTAATCTATAAAGATATAAGAACCCTTGAAAGGTATATTATGTGCCAAGGAAAACTACCCAGCGTCATCAATAATGAGAGGATAACAAAGCAAAAAGATCCAGTCACTTATGTGGAGGAAGAAAACCAGCTGGTCTCAGATTTCTCTACAGTAACACTCAATGCAGCAACAGCTACATGATACGCAAGAAAAGAAAATGTATGCCCAAGGATTTTCTGTTCAGCAAAACTGTCCTTTAGGTATAAAGTTTATTGGCAAACAGCTTTGAATATACACAATCTCATGGAATATTGGTCCTAGGAGACCTTCCTGAGGAAACCACCAGGTGAATTTCAGTCAGCTACGAGGTCAGGGGAACCCGAGAGCAGAAGGATTGGAGATGAACACCAATAATATAACTTTAGAGCCCAAGTCTAAGACAACTGTGGCCATTAGTGTTAAAAGAGCCGGTAAATGTTACACAGCGATGCGGAAATGATACTCTAATCAAAATTGGGGTTTGGGGGAAGGAAGATGGAATATAGGCTATCACTTAAAATGGACAATCATATAATGGAAGTTTAAGTGTTTCTTATAGTACAAAATACACATTCGGATAAACTTACTACAAGAGATTAAGTGTTGGCAGGGATATGGAGAAAAGGGAACCCTCATGCATCGTTGGTGGGAATGTATTTTAATCTCTTTAATGTATTTTAATAAGTTCGTGCAGCCACTATGGAAAACAGTATGGAAGTTCCTCAAAAAATTAAAAATAGAACTGCTCTGTGACCCAACAATCCTTCTTCTGGGTGTATAATGTATCCTAAGCAAACAAAATCACTGTCTCAAAGAGACAGCTCCACCCCCATGTTCACTGCAGCATTACAGTGGAAACTCGGTTCTCAAACTTAGTTTGTTCTAGAAATTAGTTGAGATGGGAGACATTTGAGAACCAAGGTTTGACTGTATTTACAATAGCCAAGACAAGAGAATTCTTGGAAACACTATTAAATTTCTTCTGATGGTCTAATAGGCAAAGGATTAGTTTCTTGCTTTAATGGGTATTTTCCTGATAATTCATAAGGCTGAATTTATTTTGTAAACTTGGGAAGCAAGGATCTGTTTCCATGTGTTATGAAGTAGGGATCCAGTTTTTGTTTTTTCAAAATGGTCAGACAATGTCCAAACACCATTCACGAATGGTTCTTAAGTTGCCATACGGCCTCTTCCCTTGTGGATCAGCAGACGAGAGCTGCCGTTGTCGCTCAGTCCAGACCAGTGGTTCTCATACTGTGTTTCCCAACCTTCGACACACACTCCAGACTCCCACGTAGAGCACATTCCTGTGGCCGCTCACAGGGCCACGTGTGTTCCCTCCCGTGCTCAAAAGCATATCAGCATGAGTGGTAGGGAAGTCGATGTCAATATGGGGATAAACCTGAATTTACTATAATTTATTTATAACAATGATATAGGTCACTAACTGTGGTACTTTGGTGTGGGTCAGGTGCAAAACTGTCGCAAAGCCCCTCCTACCTGACTGTGACATACTGCTATGTCCCAACACTGGTCCAAAGTACAGAAGTGCACCCTGGCGGGTGTTGCTCAGTGGACTGCGTGCCGGCCTGCGAACCAAACAGTCGCCAGTTCAACTCCCAGTCTCGGGCACGTGCCTGGGTTGTGAGTCAGGCCCCCAGTAGGGGGCGCGCTAGAGGCAACCCTAAATGGATGTTTCTCTCCCTTTCTTTCTCCCTCCCATCCCCTATCTAGAAATGAATAAATAAAACCTTTTAAAAAATAAAACGCAGAAGTGCTTCCAGACAGCTGGGGCCCAGCTCGGGCCCTCCCCACGGGAGCGCTGCCCTGAACAGCCTGGCAGAGCCCGACCTTACCTGAGGGGCTAGGAACGTTGCTCCCCCTGAACTCTGGCTGCTTGACAGACCAACCGCTGATAAAAACAGCCATGAGCTCCCTCATCAGTGTAAATGGATGACTGCCAAACATTTTACATTAAAACATTACATCTCTCTAAGAGTTCTGTGTGGTATACCCTTCAAATAGTTAAGTGAATTCAAAGTGATTCTGTTAAGAAGCTGAGAATCGTAGCTTTAAGAGACATATACCTCTCCAAGCCTCTCACACTCTCCACTCCCCTTTTCTCGTCAAGAAAAATGAATGTATTCGTCCATTCGTTGTCATTAAGGGAGCGTTTTGCTGGGGCAGCAAGTTCAAAGTCAGCAAACTGTTGCTTGCGCCCACAGAAAGCCAGGTGACACAGGGACGGCGGGAGAGCTCCGCTGGGCCTCTGCGGCTCACCTACTGGGAAAGAGTAGCTTTGCAGTTGACAAGTCTCCGTTTCTCTACAGATAAGAGAGGAAAAAAAAAGAAAAAAAGACAAGTTCCTTCCCTTCTGAAATTTTAGAGGTTCCTAGGGGAAAAAAAATGATGTATTCACAGAAATAGAAAACAAGTTGGAATATGATAAAAAGCCAAAAGAGAAGATGAATCAAAATGCCTGGACAGAAGATGTCTAGCAGAGGTGGTCCATGGCGCTCCCATGTGGTGGCGCTGGGAAAAGTGACGGAAATAAGGACAGCTCTGTGGAGCAGGTCCCCAAGGGGGCACACCCAAAGGGCGACCGGGATGTTATCACACAGGGACGGGACAGAGCCATTCCAAGGCAAAATTCAGGAGCACAGGTGCATGCTGGAAAGTGCAGGCGTGTTCAGGACACTGCAAGACCAGGTCTGAATGGAGCTAGAGCTGCAAGAGGACCGGTTGGCCACGGGGCCATCGGGGCCAGGTCTCGCAGGGCCACAGGCTCTGCGCAGAACAAGGAGGCCACAGTTGACTTAAAGACACTGGGGAACTCTCGAAGATTTGGAGACACAGGGGATCTTGTGAAGACTGAAGCAGGAGAGAGACTGATCACTCAGGCAGGAGCGGAGCAGCTGTAATGAAAGAGGCTGAAGGCAGGTTCCCTTTGGAGGCCCCTGCAAGGGTCCAGGTGGAATACCAAGGGCCTGAATTAGGGCCAGGGACTAAAATGTGTGCAACACCAAGAGGGAGGCGCTCTACCCCTTAGCATATTAATAGCAGTCCAATTTCAACTGGGACAATTAAGATCTGCGAGCACCTAGAGGTGCCTGCCAGTCAGTCTTAAGCCACCTTGCTGGGTAACTGTGTGCTTCCTCTAAGTAATCATGAGAAAGGTCAGGAGCATTTGTTAAACAAAAACAACAAAGATGATCTCAAAGGCAGAAGTCCAAGGACTGAGAAACACATCTCCTGTTGCAGGAGCGATGAGGGCAGGAGGCCCCTGCAAGTCGGCTGGGGAGCGCAGGTGCAGTGGGTGCCTACATCGCCTGAGGCACCTGCCGAGACCTAACCTTCTGCCGTGTGACCTCCCCAATCAAATGACCCCAGAGACCTCACCTCAGCCCTCAGCCCCCAGCCCCTCGCCCCCCTGGAGTATCTGCCTGAAGATCCTGAAGTTCATTACAAACTTGTCCCATCCATCAGGAGGCAGGCAAACTGTGTGTTTAAACAGAATAAGAGGTTTTTGTTTTTTTTTAAATAGGAAGAATTAAGAACTACTTTTTAAAGAAAGATTTTATTTTTTAGAGAGAGGGGCAGGGAGGGATAAAGGGAGAGAAACACCCATGTCGGGGAGAAACCTCAATCGGTTGCCCCTCGCCCGACCAGGAACCTGGCCCACAACCTGGGCATGTGCCCTGACCAGGAATCGAGCCAGTGACCGTTCAGTTTGCGGGAATGACGTCCAACCCACTGAGCCACACCAGTCAGGGCTAAAAGTTACTTTTCAAGGCCAAAGAAAATCAGGTACTTTGCTTCAGATAAAACCCAGGATCTACCCAACATATGCGGAAGCAAACAGGATGGAGCTTCAGTCCTGGCTCTGCCACTTACCCGCTGTGTGACCTCGAGTAAGGGCTGACCTTGCTGTACTTCCCCGTCCTGGCCTGCGAAGGAACAGCCCCACCCACCTCGCAGGACTCTTACTGAGAGGGACTTGGAAGGTGCCCACTGCGGGGCTGGGCTCGCGGGAGGCCCTCACTGGCAGCCCCTTTCTCCAACAGATGGCCCTCCTCCTATCTCCCAAGTCCGTGACAGTTGTCACAAGCTCTGCCCTTTCCTTTCTTTTCTTCCCAGCTCTCTGACTCCTCCAGACTAGATGCCTCTGAGTTGGACGCCTTTGTCTCACGCCTCGTCTGCATCCCCCTCGGTCCAGCACCCCTCTGGGAACTATCACTTTGCATCACGGAGGACGTGAACGTGACTTCTGTGCTCGGACCCATGAGTTCGAACCTTGGCCTCGTACTGGCTGCATGATCTTATGGGGGTCACTGAGCTTCTCTCGCTTAACTCACAAGGTAACAAAGTGGTGATGATTTCGCTTTCTCCGAAGGTGGTAGTTTCCATGAGTTTTGCAAGTAACATGTTAGGCACGCTGTCTGGCCCACAGAAGGGGACGGATAAACGCTAGCTACCATTTCTGAGTTTTGTCTCACACGTGTCCAATCTCCTTCCCTTTCCCTGCCGTCCCCACGTCCCCACCTTGGCCCAACCCCTGTACACCTGATGTCTAAGTGGCTTCCTGGCTGCTCTCCTGCCTCCAGCCTCTCCCTGCTCTAATCAAACCCACATCCTGTTGCCAAACTCAGCTTCCTCCCATGCCCCTTGGGCCCCAGTTCAAGAACCTGCTGAGGCCAATGACAGACAGTCCAAGCCTCCACCCACCCTTCCCCCAAACTCTGCTTCCTGCCACTTCCTCAACACACACTTTGCACTCCAATTGGCCAACTTCTTACTGTCACCTGAGCTATGCCCTGCCAGTCCCGGCTCCTGAGCCCTGCTTAGCACAGCTGCGCTCGGAGGCCACCCCCTCCACCTGACCGGCACCGTTCCAAATTCTACCCGAGCAGGCAACTCTGCTCAAGGTCCGCCTCTCCCTGCAGCCTCTCAGACCTCTCCTTCTGCCCTTCTCACCAGCACCCAGGCAACCCTGCCCGTGGGTCCTGGCGCCATCCTAGGGGTGCCAGGGGTGGAAGCAAACATCTGGAAATCAGGGGAGTCCAGTTTACAAGTGAAAGGCAGGCGTGCCTGCGTGCCACTGTTTATTAATAACGCAGGAGGCCAATATGTTAAGTGTTGCAAAGAACTCGTTTGTAATTCCTCTTTTAAGAGTCAGCATGACTTTGTGCCACAGAAAGTCCCTAGTTATTGGCTGGTTTATTCATTATTCTTCTCGGTTTCATAAAAACAATCCCTTCTGTCAAACTAGGATTTGTTTTTTCTCACTGCCTGAACTTCAAATATTTGGATGTTTCATTGCACAACCAAGTGAAAATGTCAAGGAGTGATTTGCAGGGTCTTCAGCCCTTCCTCCCAAACTTCCTTCAGCTTCCTAACATTTCACATGGACACAGAAGTAAAAACTACGCTTACTCCTCAGTCCCTCCTATACTGAAATTCTAGAACTGTCACTGCACCCCATGGACTTTAAAAAGGTGGCAACGCGCTGATTTCCCACAGACAGCATAGAAGCGTGAGGCTGTCCCACACTCTGTCCTGGGTACCACCCCCTCCTCCTCCACCTGGGAGGGAGTCCCCACCCTGCCCCTGGGAGTTTCACATCTCACCACCATCCCGGAGGGTCTGGGTCAAGTCTTCCATGAGAGCCACTGCCTCCTCGCTGCCTTCGGGCCTGTGCTCCTGCAGCCAGGCCTGAATTTCCCTTGGCATCACGGTCAGCATCTGCTCCTTGGTGTGCACCTCTGGCCTCAGCCAGCGCCGGCAGAGCTCTCGAAGGCGGCTGAGTGCGCCTTGCGGGCCTCTGACCACCTCCTCGCGGGGGCTGCCCTTGTCGGCGCTCTGGGGAGAGGGCTCGGACTCGGGGCCATCCTCCTGCAGCACAGCCTCCTGTACCCAAGAGTCGTCCTCCAGGATCATGGTGGTGACCTCCTCCTCCTGTTCGTCTTCCTCTTGAGGTACGTGGACCACGGGGCTCAGGGGAGTGGCTACTCTTGGCACCTCGGCAGCCATCACCCACGATCTTAGGGCACGCACTCAGGCTTCTAGCCTTTAGCTTCAGTCTTCTCCGGGCAAGCTCTCTGAGAAGACGCCACCCTCCCCAAATTTCAACTAACAGCCTGGCAGAGAAATGAGAAAGAGAACGAGAATCAATAAGTAAACTGTCCTAAAATGATCAAACTCCCAGCAGCCCAGGTTGGACCACCAAGGGATTCTCAAATCCACAAAGCGACGTAAGTTTCCTGTCCCTCTTAAAGGAAAAAATGGCATATTCCTGAAAAACTATCTCTGTAGCAAGATAAGTGAAGAAGAATCATAAACACAACATATACAGCATTTTCCCCCCAAAAGACTAAAGCATGGGTCTAAGAAATGCAAAGCCCTTGCAAGAATCCAGGACTGAGTTTTCCTGCCCTAAGCCGGTGACCCTGACCTGACATACTCAACCTCTCCGAGCACCACTAAGTGAAGATACTAACGTCCATCCTCCTTCTTTTATGAGCACATCTTAAGGATTAGCAATGGATCAGATGTCAAGAGACTTTGAGCCTCCCTAGAAGGAGGGCAACGTCTCAACTGCATTATTAGCATATTTCAAAGTATGAATTACAGAATGTTCATACTCTTCAATCCAGCTTTGGCCCCTCAGGAATCTATCTTTTAAAATAACTATCTTTGCAAAGAGGAATTTATTTGCAAGGACATCCAACCATAGCATTCTTCTAATCACAAAAAAAAAAAAAAAAAAAAATTGCCATATTAAAAAACCATTAACAGGGGAATGGTTCATAGATTATGGCACATCCACACAGTAAAATGTATTAAAAACTATGTTGATATAAAAATGGCTACCTATGGGAGGTACTTAGAAAGGGCTCAGTTCTATATCTTGATTTGACAATAGTTGCACAACAGCATATGTATGAAATTTAAGATTTGTGCACTCTGCTGTATTTTAAAATATTTTAAAATTATGATGACAGATGATTAATCCTTAAAGATTTAAGGTAATCATAATAACAAAACCAGCAAGGCATTAAAGCTGTAGATACAGTATGACCTGAATTCCCTTTAACAGTCAACATACCCAAGAAAAAAGGTGGGGGCCTGGACAGAAATTCTACAACATGTTGAGAGCAGTGAAATCACAAATTATTTAAAGGCTATCTATGCTATAAAAGAAAATTTATTTTTAAAAATCATTACTATATCATAAAGACTCAGATAGCAATCCCCCCTCCAAAAAAAAAAAGGGAAAAAAGGAGGAGAAGGAAAAACTTTATTTAAAGAACAAAATAGAAATACCAGTGGGAAAACCGAAGTTCCCAATGTGTATTTACAGTGACTAGAAGAAACACAGGGATAACAACCCTTACTTAGGAACCGCGGGGAAACTGTTCCTAGTAAGCAACTAGTTCTCTGTGTGAACCGGGGCAAGACACGCCTCCTCTGAGCTCAGTTTCCCCCTGTGTAAAATGAGGAGCTGCGCGCGGTGTCGTCCAGTGTGCTTCCAGTCCAAACCTTGAGCCCCCGGTTGGATGTGCACGGAGCTCATGGCAGGGAGCAGAGCCCGGGTGCGTTCGCTGACCGAACCAGCGCGTAAACCGGGGCTGCCCGGGTCCGCGGGCCACGGACAGCGCCCCCGACGCCCCTCCCCCAGCAGGCTGCCAGCACCGGCTCCAGGCCCGTTATTCCCACGCCTCGCTCTACTCCCATGGGCCGCGAGACTCCAGGCCTATCTCTCCGGGCTCACCTCTCCGGAGACTAGATACTGCTCCGGCGGCGGCTTCGCGTGCAAGAGCGCCCCGGCCACGGACCGGCCCCTCCGGAGACACGACGGCTCCGGCCCGAGGGGTACCGAGAACAATGGACGGTAGAGGCCCGCCCCCAACCGCTCTCATTGGCTGCCGAGAACAGCCCCCGGAATTCTGCGTTTCTATTGGAGATTACAACGCTCAGCCCGAGGCGGGAAAGAGGCTGGGCCGAAGGCATTGTGGGAGTTGTAGTCCATCCACTCAGACCACCCGGGTTGCGGGCCTGAGAGCGGAGTTCGGCGTTGACTGAGGCAGAAAACGCGCGGACTGGCCGTCAGGACCCCATGTCGGCCAGAGCTGTAACCTGGAACAGGTCAGTCATTACCCTTCTTTAAGGCTTCTGTGTATTTGTGTATAAAATGTAGAAGTTAGGTGGAGGGACTTGAAGGTCCTTTTCAGCTGTTGTTATGTCCCTCGACGGCCAGAAGCAGCCCCGGAGGAGGAAAGGTATCTTCATAGTAAAAGCCCCCCGTCGCCTGAACCCGGCTCCCCTCCCCCAACGTGCAGGGGTGCACCTGGGCTTTGCACACACCTTTGGTTTTGCACGTGGCGTTCCTGTGTCTGAAGGAAAGACCTGTCCTGCCTCTTCTGACAGGAACTCCCATTCTTTCGTCGGTCTCCATCAGCCGCTCCCCAGGCCTCTGCACACCGTTCGACGCCTCCCTGGCGTCAAGCTGAGCGTGGAAAGGCGAGTGTGGAAGGTGGGCCGCTAACGTGGCGTTCCCACGCCTGGCGGGCTTGCAGGAAGGCTGCCCCGACGCTCTGTGACAAGTCGGTAACTGGCTGGAAATCCAAGGGGAGAAAAAGAAGGACGGAGAGAAAACACTCTTAAAAGATCGGTGATAGAACGATCTTGTATATTTGTTCAGAGCAAGAACCGGATGCACACACAAATGACTATTTTTGTTGTTTATAATTTTTATTTAATTTTCATTTCATGAATGTTTGAGAAATGTTTTGTGTTTATTGGTGATTTAAATCTCATTTTCTATGAACCGATTGTTCATATCTTCTTCCCTTTTTTAAAATTGAATTTACCCGTAAGAGCTCGTTGTATGTTAAGCAAGTGATCCCTTTGTTTGTCACAGACATTGCTACGATTTTCCTCAGTTTTATGTTTGTGTTTCTTTTAAACATAGAACTTTGACATTTTCATGTCAATTTGGTCAGTCTTGTCTTTTTCATAGCTTCTGAGTTTTGTGTTGTTCTTAGACAGTTCTCTGCACAACCCCGGAGATTATTTGAATTTCAATTATTATTCACTAATTACAGCCCCTTTACCTAATGCGAAGGGAGATTCTGCTGTTGTTCCCACGTCCCTGGTAGTGTCTTAATTTATTAGCCCGAAGGGACCGCATGCAAACAGCGCCACCTCCAGGCTAGCCCGAGAAGTCTGCACGGGGCGCCTGCACGCAGAATTCCCCGCCTCCGCGTCTCCCGCAGTCAGCCTTCCAGGCTGGCGAGATCTCCATAATGCTGGAGTATGATAATTCTGGGAGATGATCCTGTACTAATAAAGATCTGTTTCTCCACGTCCCCATCCTCACGAGGGATGTACATTTACACAAAAGGGAAAAGATGTTTGGTTGGGGTTGGGGTTGTATATTCGTTCAGAGCAATAACTGGATGCACACACAAATGACTATTTTTCTTGCTTATAATTTTTATTTAATTTTCATTTCATGAATATTTGAGAAGTGCTTTATGTTTATTGGTGATTTAAATCTCATTTTCTATGAACCAATTGTTCATATCTTCTTCCCTTTTTTTAAATTGAATTTACCCATGAGAGCTGGGGATACAGCTGAAACTTTCCAGAAGCCTAAGAGTGCATGTACCTCTGCTTCTATATATCCCAAGCCAACCCTGGAGCGCAGGACACTGGCACTATCTTGTTACAGGAAAATCCTGGAATCAGCCGTGTCTGCCCCGTGCCTGATTCTCTAGGAATTTGGCCCTGGCCAATGTCAACTGTCCCAGGTTTAGATAGACAGTAAATCACATTGAAGACCAATTCCTGCCATCACCTAGTCCCTAAGCCAGTGCCCTAAGACCAGCCTAGGACAATGATCAAGCCTAGAATCACAGCCCCATTCAGTGAGTAGGACACTCCTGCAATTGACTCTTTTCTCCAAACCACAGGAGTGGCAGAGACTCTGTTCTACCAGTGCACAGTCATGGTTAAACTTCAGAGAACTACTCTGGCTAACTTAAGTCAGAGGGACTTACTTAAGGAGTATCAGGGAACTCACAGAGTAGGTGGGAGCCGAAGGATCAGATCAGAGAAGTTGGGATCCAAGAAAGAGAGCAAGGCCCCAAGAGCCACAGCAAAAATCTCTGAGCAGAAACTGCCCAGCCTGCCCACCCGTGCCCTGGTACTGCTCCAGCCAGGCCTGTTTGCCTGCCTTCTCTGGGCTCCAAACCAGGGAGGGAGCATTTCGTTGCCTGAGCCTAAATCATATGCCCACCCCATGTAAAAAGAAGCTAAAGCAGGACTTTTTTTTTTTTTTTTTAGAATAAAACTTTTTTACCCCTCAAGGCCAGTATCTTTTCCTCTTTTTTTTTTTTTTTAAGTGAATGATTTGTATTTATTTAGTGTGACCGAGGGAGGCCCTTTGGACCTTGTGTTGCTCCTCCAGAGACACTAGCTTTTCTCTTTCTCAGATGGCCTGGGCTGGCCCGGGCTTCTCTAGCCCCTTCGTGCCAGGAAGGAGGAGAACAGATTTACAGCCTCTGGCCTGTTCCCACGCCCTATTCTGAACTGCTCTGTACAAGGATATTTCTGGGAAGACGCAAGGGTGCTCTGGGCTGGGCAGGATGCCTCAGGAGGCGGCCCCAGTGCGGGGCGGTTGCCAAGACACAGAGGCCCCAGTGGCACAGGGGTGGCTTGAGACAGTGTGTGTTTTCAAGGGGATTTAGCACTAGAAATTTCAACGTCTGCCAAGCTATCACAAATAAAAACAAATTTTAAAGATCAGAAGAAAAAAAGAGAGAAGGAAGAAATTTAAATACATGCCCACACATGATCAAACACAATCTCGAGGCTGCTTGGTTCATAGGAAGAAAATTATCACTAGAATAGTTGACCATTGGAAAGAGAAAACAAAATCTGTAACCTTCAGTAAAAGTTTGCAATACAGTTGGCAAGCAATAGAGGCTTCAGGACAAGTTCCCTAACTAACTTGTCAAACCAGGCTGCTGCTCCAAAGCTACTCCTTTATACACTGAAGCTGCTCGCTATGACATTTCCTGAGACACATGGCCAGGGAGGTAGCGATACTCCCCTGGGGTTGGTTTGGTGCTGCGGATTTTCCCCTAATGGACTTTTACTACTGTGTATTTGATTTTTTTTCTCTCTGTCTCCCCGCCCCTCTCGTGCAACTTGAATTTTTTAATTATAAAACACTAATGCCCTCAGAAATCAGAAAGAAAAATAGACAAATTTGAACACACAAAGTGAAAAATGGCTGCATACCAGAATAGGTCATAAATGAGATAAAAAAAGAAATGACAAAATGAGGAAAATATTTGTAATACATGTTACAAGCCAGGGGCCAATTTCTAATTTACTAGGAATTTATCCAAATGAGCATAAAAAAAAAAAGACCAAGAACTCAATAGAAGAATGGCTGAAGGATAAGAATAAGTATGTTAGAGAGAGAGAGAGAAACTCAACCACAGTAATAATTTTAAAAATGCAAATCAAAGCAAATATAGAGCATTTGGAACATCTGTCCTTGGAATTCTATTAGCTTGTTAAAAAATGACGTTGGTCTCTATGTGCTAATAGAGAAAAATCTCCAGATGGGTGAAAAAAGCAAGGTCCAAAACTATGTGTGTACAATATCATATATTTTGTGGAAAAATGTAAAGGGAAGAAGCATTTAATATATATGCTAAGGGACACCTAACAAGTTTTCCTTGTTGCATACACAAGAAAGTGTGAATGGTGATTAGCTATATAGGAGGGACTGAAAAACAGGGTAGGGACTTTTTTACTTTTAATTTTATAATTTCCTAAAGTTTTTTGACATTTTCCCATGTGTGTGCATTTATTTTTAAAAAATATAATAATAATAGAGTTGAGGAATTTTGTGTTATTTCATCTTAAAACGTTTCGTACTAGGAAAAAAGCGCCGATGAAGATGTGGAGCAACAGGAACTCACGGTCATTGTTGGTGGGAATGCAAAATAGTACAAGCTCTTTTATAGGACACTTTGGTGTTTCTTAAAAATGTAGATATACTCTTACCATATGATCCAGCAATCATGCTCCTGGGTATCCCCACATAAAAATCTGCACACAAAACAAAAAAGCAAGGTAATGATATACAAGTATGCTTATTGTCGAAATTATGGAAAATACAGAAATCTTTAAAAAGATAACAGAAATCTATGTAGAACTTCAATACCCAAATATAACCTCTGTTACTGTTGTGGTAGGTTTCCTTGTGTTCTTTTTTCTGTGCATATGAGTGTAACCAATATGAACTGTACCACAATATCAGGATGCCTTTAAAATTTTTTCCAAAATAAAGGAAACTAAAACTATCTCTAACCTGTAACTACTGAATTAGCCAATAACCTCCTTTTTGGAGCTCTCCTTTCTCCTGACTGTCCAGGACCCTGGGATTTATGAAACGCGCAAAGCAGCCCTGTGAACACTCAGACCCGCGGGAGAAAAGCCCAAAGCGGTTCTAACTGTGGCTGTTTGTGCAATTGACCCTAGTCACCACAAGGTGTCACTCTCTGCACGTTCAAATCAATGTGGCCCTGCACACCAAGCCTTCAGTCAATGACCTGTTAAGGGCCTGGGAGGAAAAGTTTTATTCCCACGGCATCAGCTAATCCAGAATCCTTTAACAGTTCCCAGGGACTCCTTCTTAGTATATTAGAGAGAATAAGAGAGAAAGGGAAAGGGAGGGAAGAGGGAACAGAGAGAGAAAGAGAAACATCGATTTGTTGTTCCACTCGTTTATGCATTCACTGGTTGATTGTTGTCCGTGCCGACTGGGGATCCAACCACAACGTTGGCACATTGAGGATGA